CCTCTCCCCCTCTTATTCTCCCCTTCACTTTTTCCTAATTCCATCTCCCCTTCCCCCACGCTTCCAATTTGCTCAGGAGATCTTGTCCATTTCCCCTTCTCTGGGGGACCATGTATGTATCTCTTAGGGTTCTCCTTGTTTCCTAGCTTCTCTGGTGGTGTGGATTATAGGCTGACAATCCTCTGCTCCATGTCAAAAATTCATATATGAGGGAGTGCATGCCATGTTTGTCTTTTTGTGACTGGGTAACCGAACTCAGGATGGTTTCTTCTAATTCCATCCATTGGCCTCCGATTTTCAAGATTCCATTGTTTTTTTTTCTGCTGAGTAGTACTCCATTGTGTAAATGTACTACATTTTATTCATCCATACTTCAGTTGAGAGGCATCTATGATGCTTCCAGGTTCTGGTTATTACATATAATGCTGCTATGTTAAGTTTCTGTCTGGTGGTAAGAATGGTGTGTTGAAGTCTCCCACTGTAAGTGTGTGGGGATTTAAATGTGATTCGAGTTTTAGTGATGTTTCTTTTATGAATGTGGATGCCTTTGTATTTGGGGCATAGATTTTCAGAATTGAAACTTCATCTTGGTGGATTTCTTCTGTGATGAGTATGAAATGTCCTCTTTCATTTCTTTTGATTGATTTTATTTTAAAATCTAATTGGTTAGATATTAGGATTGCTACCCCAGCTTGTTTCTTGGATCCGTTTGATTGGAAAATCTTCCCATCCCTTAACTCTGAGTTAATGTCTGTCTTTGAGGCTGAGGTGTGGTTTTTGTATGCAGCAGAAGGATGGATTCTGTCTTTGAATCCATTCTGTCAATCTGTGTCTTTTTATGGGAGTGTTAAGACCATTAATATTAAGGGATATTAATGACCATTGACTGCTCATTCTTGTTTGTTTTGGAATGGTTGATGGTGGTGGAATTATATGTGATTTCCACCTCTTTTTTCTTTTGGCTGTTGGTAAGGTGGGATTATCTATTGCCTATGTTTTTCTGGTTGTAGTTAACTTGCTTGGGTTGGAGTTTTTCCTCCAGAACTTTCTGTCAGGCTGGATTAGTGAATATGCATTTTTTAAAATCTGGTTTTGTCATAGAATATCTTGTTACCTCCATCTATGGTGATTGAAAGCTTTGCTGGGTATAGTAGTCTGGGCTGGCATCTGTGGTCTCAGTGTTGGTAGAATATCTATCCATGACCTTCTGGCTTTCAGAGTTTCCATGGAGAAGTCAGGTATGATTCTGATAGGTTTATCTTTGTATGTTACTTGTCCTTTTTCCTTAGCTGCTCTTAATATTCTTTCTTTATTCTGTATGTTTGGGGTCTTGATTATTATGTGGTGAGGGGAATTTTTTTGAGGTCCACTCTATTTGGTGTTCTGTAAGCTTCTTGTACCTTCATTGGCATGTCTTTCTTTAGGTTGGGGGAAGTTTTCTTCTATGATTTTGATGAATATGTTTTCTGCATCTTTGAGTTGGGTTTCTTCACCTTTTTCCAATACCTATTATTCTTAGGTTTGGCCTTTTCATGGTGTCCCATATTTCCTGGAAATTTCGTGTTAGATATTTGTTGGATTTAAGATTTTCTTTGGTCACTGAATTTATGACTCGTAGTGTATCTTCAAACCTGAGATTCTCTCTTCCATCTCTTGTGTTCTATTGGTTATGCTTGCATCTGTAGTTCCTGATCATTTATCCAGCTCTTCTAATTTCAGCATTCCCTCAGACTGTGTTTTATAAAATTCTCTCTACTTTAGCTTTCAAACCTTGCACTGTTTCAATTGTTTGTTGTAATTTTTGCTTTGTCTATTCCTCCATTTCTTGAATTTTTTGTTTTTTCTTCCTTTTCTTTAAAGGATTTTCTCAATTCCTCTTTTAGGGCCTCTATCATCTTCATCCTCTATCATCTTCATGAAATTATTTTATTTTGGTTTGGTTTCTTGAGACTGGGTTTCTCTGTGTAGCTTTGGAGCCTATCTTGGTACTTGCTCTGTAGCCCAGGCTGGCCAAAAACTCACAGAGATATGCCTGCCTCTGCCTCCCAAGTGCTGGGATTAAAGGTATGTGCCACTAATGCCTGGCTTCATAAAGTTGTTTTTAAGGTCATTCTCTTCTGCTTCATCTGTGTTGGAATAGTCAAGTCTTGCTGGTGTACAGGCCCTAGACTCTGGTGGCATCATATTGGCTTTTCTGTTATTGAATGTGCTCTTATATTATCACCTTTCCATCCCTCCTTCCAATGAATGCAGGTGGAGTCTCTTTCTCTCCTGGTGGGAACAGGTCCAAGGTTCTCTTCAGGTGGTTGCAAGCGGGTCCAATACTCCGATGGCCTCACGATGGGTGCAGGCGGGTCTAAGGCACCCCCTCTCCAGTGGGTGGAGGCAGGACTAGTACAACAATGTCAGAAGACTCTGGATGAATTGATCTACTTGGGGCTAGTCAAGCTGCCTGCAGTCCGCAGACCAGGAGATCTCAAAGACAGCAAGCAGAAGTCTGGCCTGAGACAGGGGCTCACACTCACCTTTCCCCTCTAGATTTTATTTTTTTGCATGTACACATGCACATGGGGGCCAGGGGTCAATGTTAGGTGTCAGTTTGCAGGAGCTGCCAACCTTGTTGTTTGCTTTTGAGACAAGGTCTGTTACTGGCCTGGGTGGAACTCACTGATTAAGAAATGATGACTGGTGGTGAGTCCTAGAGACCCACCCATCTGCACCTCCCAGTGCTGGGATTACAAGCATGTATCCCCATGCTTGTTTTGTCCCATGGTGCTCAGGACTGTGGTCAGATCCTTATTCTTGTACAGTGGGTGCTTTGCTGATTAGCACCCTGTCCCATTCTCTATATGTTAATCAGTATCTGGCTCACAGTGACATAGTCCTTAAATGTTGGCTATCCCCACCATCATCCCCGTGGAGCAACTACACCTTTGAATCACTGTTTTGAAACAACTTAAAGGAGGAAGATTTAATTTTTGCTCTTTGCTTTGCTTGCCATGGCAGTCTTCACTGCAGAGCTCTTTAGTTCATGATAGACGGGCAGCAGAGAGCAGTGCGAGGAAAGAGCCAGGGCAAGATGCAGGCACATTCTCACGGATTCCTTTCTTCCAACTAGACCCTATTTTCCACAGTGCCACTACCTCTCAATATTCTATTCAAAATCTGATCTTTCAGTAGCTTAAGTCATTGACGAGGCCATGTGTCAGACAAGCACAGGAGACTATTTAGTAGCCCACCCACAGTTTTGGGGGTTATGCACACCTCTCCCTACTCTGGTAAATATGCACTTGGCAGTCTAGCTCCTTGACCTGAATGTACTACACACACACACACACACACACACACACACACACACACACACACACACCCTTTACAAACCACACACCTAGCAACCCCTTTACCCTCAACTGCATTAGGTTACATATATTCCCATCTTGTCTTTGAGTAATAACATGCATTTTATTGCTTCTGTTAATGATTAAACTTTTCTCTATTCATGACAATGTCTATTCATGTATATTCACAACATATCTGGGTATGAAAAGTAGGAGGGTCAATCTAAACTGAATTGGTGTTGGGTGCTTGTGTATAAAGGCACAAATGTGTCCTCTAGTAACCTTTAGAGAGAATGAACACATGCAATCCTCAGAAATGTCCTTATAGAAACACTCACGGGTACATGTTGCTAATAAATGCTCTATGTTTCTCAGTCCAGCAGAGCTGCTGTGATGGGCCACAGCATAACTTATCTGAGTGGTTAGCTTTTCTCTAACCCAATCCAGGAGTCTGGAGATACCGATCAATCATCTTTACTGAGAAGTTCTGGAAAGTGTCTTGTGGTCAAGTTTCTAATTCATTCACATCTTGATATGGAATAGTTGTCTCCAGACATCAATCTCATGACATAATACGACTGGGAGATGTCCAGCAAGCATGCAAGAGAATCACAGAATCCGTCTTTGGGGGGCTCAAGCCCCTCACTCTTGATTCCTGCTCTCAGAATCCACTTGTACCTGGACAGGAACATTAGCAGAGATATTTGTGTTTCCCATGGTGAGGACTCAGATTTCCATAGGAATTTTTTCCACGACAGGTTTTCTATTGTCCAGTTGACTAGATACTTGCTGTGTAACTGTGAGATCTGAATTTGGGTCCCCAGAAGACATAAAAAGCCAGATCCGTTGGGGATGCACCTGTAATCCCAGCACTTCTTGGGTGAGATGGGAGGCAGACACAGGAGAATCCATGTAAGCTCAAGGACCAGATAGCTTTGTGCACAAAGTGGCAAAGGACAAGAGACCCAGTCTGAAAGACAGTGGAAGATGAGGACCAACACCTGCGCTTGCCCTCTGAACCCTCATGTACACTGAAATACACACTCACACATGGACATTCGTACTTACACACCAACTTACTCTACAAATATACCTAATATAAAGTATATTTTGTCTCTGGCTGGAGATATAGGTCAGTGGTAAAACACTTGTTAAAAATTATCTTCATCATTACAAAAAGAGAAATTAACGTTCTTGGTCTCATTGACTATTCCCTAATACTGTGGTTAGCTGGCATGGCTCTTTTCATGTGGCCACCAAGGAAGTAGACGACAGAGAGGTTAGACCATTTGTCAAAGGTCACACAGTTCATAAGCAGCACATAAGAGACCAACCCTGGGGTTTCCTTCCCTTAAAGCCATTGTGTTTTTCACAGGATCCTGCAGGGCCCAGGAAGTAAGAAGAGTTTTACAGAACTGAGTAACAGCCTTTCTTCTTAGAGACAGAGGTGTGGCAGTCAGGGCCTGGCTTTCAGTAGTGTGGCATTTTTGATGTCTCCTCATGACCCCATTTAAAGTCTTTCTCCTACAGCTCTCCACTCTCCCAGAGGCCAGGGGAGCAGTTCACAGGCACCATTATCCGGCGTGACACTTTCTTCAGTGTGCAGTCAGCATTCTTGGTCCCAGGAAATGACCTCATAAAGCACCTTCCCTCTCAAACCCACAGATAATAAACCCACTTTCTTCTTTTCTCACAGCTCTGCCTCCTCAGTGTGAGTTCAGCGCCACCTACCCTACTCAGAGCTTCCTGCTGTTTGCCATAGAAGGTGAGGAGGCCAAGAGAGAGTGAGGCAACGGTGGAGGACTGGAGCCCCAGTTTAGCTGTGTAACCTTGGAGAAGTCTCTTGGATTCTCTGGGCTTTCTTTGTAATTTGAGGATATTTTAAACCATTTGCATAAGTTTATTGAGGTCTATCAGGTTCCAGGCACCCTGCTGAACAGAGAAGCTACGGTGAATAGAGGTCCCAGCTTTGTCTGAAAAGCCTCTTTGCCCTGACAGAGAAGGGAGAAGGGGGAGATAATGACTACTGAGCAGGATAAAATGACACTAGAGCTAAGTTCTGCAGATAGGAGAAACCTTGTGTTATGGAATATGTAATGGGGAGAGTTCACAGGGGCTGGGCAAGTAATTAAGATCCCAGGGATGGATAAAAGTTAGTTGAGAGAGGCAGCTTTTCAGACAGAGAAAATGGCATGCTTAAAGGTCTTTCCTGGCAGAATTATTTGTGGAAGTGATGAAATGATGGAGTGTCTATGATGACTTTTGGAACAGTGCTTCCCAGGGCTGTAGTACTCTCTCTACTGACTCAGCATGAACATGGGTCTGCTTGATGTTAAGTTGTCAAGATGATAAATTCCAAGTCTGGTGGCTGTGTCCTATCTTTGGTATATGTAGGAGATTGTTTCCAAGACACACCCCTGACTCCCAGATCTGAAAATCTATGGATACTTATGTGTCTTATTTGGAGTGGTGTGGTATTTGCATGGAATGAGCACACATACTCCCATGTACTGTGAATTATACCTAGATGACTCACAACCCTGATATAATGCAAATGTTATGGAAGTATTGGGTATACAGCATTGTTTGGGAGTAATGACATGAATATCTGTCCATGTGTGTTGTGATATCCCAGCATAATGTGCATGCTCCCTACATGGTACCCATGATGGTGGTCATGACAGCAAGATGACTGACAAGGACACAGTGATGCTGGAGGTGTGACTGATGGCTTTTAGAGAGTTTCCCATGAGGCTGCATCCTGGGAGGAAGTCACTCTCTTCCCCACTTCATCTCCATCAGTCTTATGCAGCACTACAGAGGCCATTCTCACAGCACAATACCAAGAACCCATTCAGAAGGCTTCCTCTTTATCTTCATGTCACACACCTGTCCCCAGAAACCATTTGCTTATCGTAGTCCTTCTCTTTTTATTCAATGAGGGCTCATCCAACAAAGGCAGCCTCTGAGAAATGCCACCTGAACTTCCTATAGAAACATTGTTCTCTTTCCTCGGCCTGGGCTATCACAGCCTGTTGTGTGGGCTCACACAAATGAAGCCTAAATGGAAGAAGGTATACTTAGCAGAGAGATGTCTGTCTGGGTGCTGACTTTCTGTTGTCTTAACTGGGTCCCAGGAGCACTTGCGAAGCTTCTCATTCACTGACATGAGCAGGCCCTAAGAGACTCTGTCTTGGTTATTTTCAGTCTCCTCAAGAACACCAAAGCCCTATCAGCTTCCAACACTCTTCCCTTCAGCTCCGTGCAGAGAGAGACCTGCTCATCTTGAGAAAGGTGAGTACCACACACAATCCCTGTCCTGAAGTGTGGGACATGAAAAGAAGCAGAGGTAAAAGGTTTGGAGTAGGCATAGCCAGCCCTGGAGTCCATTTGGTGCTACCTTCCCATCCACTTTCTGTGACATAGAACCTTCCCTTCGCCTCTCTGGGACTCAGTTTCCTCATTTGGAAAATGTTGTAGTTCATGTTTCCTATGGAGAATCTCATTCATATCTCATGACAAGTCTGCAATGAGGTGGCACTTTACTCCCAGCTTATACATGAAATTACTAAACTACAGTCACATAGTCAAAGCCCAGAGTCACAGTCACAGTCCATAGTCACAGTCCATTACTTGTGAACCCAAGATCATGAAACTCCAACAATTCCTATCTCCACCCTTAACTCAGAAGTGGTGACTACTGTCAGTTATCAAAGTAGATACTGTAATGGTGGCTCAAGTTCTCATCTAGAATGAACCACACAAATCCTATTCATTTTTTGGCTCTGAGCCTATGCTAAAGTCAATAAAGAAAGAGCTCACAGAAAGATCCTGTTACTAAACAGCATATCTAAATAATTGGCTTTATTCTTCAATAGAGATGAGGGGAAAGCTAATTACTGCATCCAATAAACTCGGGGAAATACAATTTCTAACTCACTAAAGATGTGTCAATATGTCTCTGAGATAGGGAGGGCTACAGGGTCAGCATCCTCTTAAATGCCTCAGCCTCACATCTGATTGCCTATTACTGGTCATATGTCCCACTTCAACTCCACAAGAGGCTGGTGAACTCAGAAGAATGCATGGATTCCAGGCTTGGCCATAACCTGCCTTAGATCTGGGTCCTCACACTATTGGCACTATGTGCTCTCTGGGGGCTGATGGAGAAGTCGGGCTTTGATGTTCTTCAAGGCTTAAATGAAATGTCAGAATGTCAGGGTTGGTTGATCATAAAGGTAAATCAGTCAGAAAAGCATGGATTTCTAGTTGAGATTACCTTTTCTAGTTGAGATTATTGATTTAGCCTTATTTAAAAAAAATTGTCAGAATTTCCTCTCATCCCATCCCTCCACTGATTCCCCTCCCTCTTTCCATTTGTCCCTTTTGTTCCCTTAGACAGTTCCATTTTTACTTTTATGTCATATATACTATTATGATTTTATGTGTTTGTATAAGACCTAGGAGCAACAAATGAAAGAAAGCATGCAATATTTGCTAGAAATTGGCTTAATTATCTCAGTGCAATTCTCTTGAGTTGCTTCCATTTTCTTGCCAATGGTTTACCTTCATTCTTGTTTATGGGTGAAATTCCATTATGCAGGTATACACCAATTCTCCTTATCCAGTCCTCTGCTGTTGGATGCCTAGATTGTTCTATACTTAGAGTTCAGTTCTTCATAGAGTGAGTCACTACAGCATGTCTCCTCACCCTAGGTACACACCTTTCATTTTGTCTCTGAGAACTCTTGAGATGGCCAAAGCCAGAGTAGGAAACTAAGTTTGCAAATGGGCAGAGAGCTAAGAGTGTCTGCCAGAAACTAAGGTCAATGACCTTTGCTCATTTGTTTTATGAACTGGAAAAATTCTGTTTCCTTAACAATCCATCTATAAGACGGGGGTTCCACTCTGCCCAGCCCATGGCCCCCAGTAGTTGACCACACAGCTTAAAAAACCATGTTCCCCAGGGGCTGGTCACACAGCTTGCTAAGCCCATGGCTCTCAGGGGCTGACCACACAGCTTTCTAAGCACCATGGCTCTCAGGGACTGATCACACAGCTTACTAAGTCCATGGCCCCCACTGGATGCCCACACAGCTTGTCTGAGGATGCTGACCTCTTCTGAAAGAAACTACCCAAAGCTGGAAGTGCCCTGAAGGATGTGGAGAAATTATGAGATTAAAATGAGAGTTTAATTCTGTCTTTTCAAGTCTGTCCTTCTCTTTCTACATATTGAAATTCAAGAAATGGCTAAAGAAACTCCCTAGAGACCACTTTGGGAAGCTTGGTCTTCCAAGACCATGAAACATTCCAGCAGGATTCATCACCTGGAGACTGAAAGTGCCTTTTGACTCAATGTTTAGAATTCTTCCTCATTTCTGAGGAAGAATGATTCATATTAAAAGAAGGGGGAGAAAATGTCATTACAGATACTATCAGAACCTCCTTAGGATGATACATTTTTGCAAACTTTCCAGAGAGTTACTTGCAATATATTTCCCTAGATTAAGAAATGTTCTTTTACCTATTGATGCAGCAATTCCACTTCAGGAATTTATCACAAGGAAATAATCACAATGAAAACAAATTAGGCATATGTAGGGATGCTCAAGTAGGTATTATTTGTTATAATGAGATCCTGGCAATAATCTACACGTCCAATAGGAGAATAAAAAGGCAATTATGGTATATACATATGATAATATTATACAGCTATTTAAAATAATGCTTTGCATCCTTCTTATGAGGTAGGCAGTGCTTGCTGAGCTCTGCAACTTATGAGCTCTGTAAACGACACACATGCTGGTGAAGGAAGATAGCAACGACACTCAAGCCATAATGATGCAAGAAGGAATTACACTTGGCATTTATTATATCCTTTATACATTCCTCATCATTAAAGCTTTCTTCAATGTACATATATTGTTTTTATAATTTACAAAAGAGCAGATTGAAGCCATACCTAGTTGGAGGGTTTCTTTGCATCTGTAGATTGGCATAGCTGCCAGGCCTCAGCGGAACTTCTCTGTGGAGTGGACAGTGATTAGCTCAGTAACTCATCACTGATCAGAGTACAGAGAATAAGAATCTGTGTGCAGTGTTGAGCAGCTAAGAGGGCATGTATTACCCCCACCAGGAAGTATTGCAGAGGAGAAGGGTGGAAGGATTGTAAGAGGTTAAAGTCGTGGCAGGATCAATGTACTCATGAACTCACAGCAGCCGTAGCTGCCTGTGTAAGATCAAACCATTTGCTGAAACACCAGCACGTGCAGGGAAGGAACTCATGAGCCCCCACTCGTAACTTAGGAGCTGTTAACAGCTGATGGCTTCTGGGAGAGGGAGCCAGTTTTCTTTATGGGTGTGACTATTACTAGCATTTCAGAGAATACACCATATTCATGATTACACTGGTAGCACAAAACACTTTCAGCTTGAAAAAGACAAATTCTGTTTCTTTTGCTGAAGTGCTGGCCACGGAACATAGTAGGTAACTGCTCTTCTACTGAGCCACCCCTCAGCTCAGTTCTTCTTAATGATCATAAGTGACACAAAGTAGCACACCTTCAACCAAGGTGCCAGTTACATGAAGCAAGAGGACATTTTGTTCTAAAGGTGACACCGAGAGGGTTTAGCTATGGGGTGAGGGAACAGAGAGGGAGTGTGGAACATAGTTCTCCTTTAATTTGGCAAGTGCACCTGGCCTCAGGGACCCACACTGTGGCTCTGGTTCTGCATTCCCATGCAAGCAGGGGCAAATTCAGCAATGTGTTGGAGCTCTGGAGAGATGGCACAGCACCACACAGTGGTTCCCGACCTCCTGCCTCTCCAGTTTGAGGTGCTGCCCACGAAGCTGAATGGCAGTTGTTTTTATTTACTTCCCTCAACCGGGGTTCATCAAGTACGCATGGTTTGGGGCACTAGCCCGGATTCTCAAATGCTGTATCACATAAAACTTAGTGTTCCTTAAAACACTTGGCTTCTGAGGCCAAGATTGGGGAAATTTGACCTAATGGTTGTAGGAAAACAACCTTTTACTGTTTTTGCTTTTTTATATTAGTGTTAATGAATCGCTTCACTAAAACTGGTAATACAAAGTCAACATACAAAAGGTAGTAGAATTGGTAGATGCTGGGAGTAAATTGCCTGGAATAGAAGTTAAGAAAACAGGTGAAAAAGATGGCCAAAGGAAGGTCAGTTCTCAGCCCTTACCCACAGCAGGCAGCTTACAATTGACAGAAACTCTAGCTCCAGGGGATCAGACGCCCTTGTCTGGCCTCAGTGGACATTTGCATACAGACACATAGACATGCCATAAATATAAATAAAAATTAACAAAAATTAAAATAACTCAAGAAGCAATCTTATTTACAATGATTACAAAAATCCCCTGTAATTCAAGACAAATTTAATCAAAAATGTGAATAATCTTATTATTCTCTCTCTGTGAAGAGAGAGAGAATGAGCGAGCGAGCGAGAGAGAGAGAGAGAAAGAGAGAGAGAGAGAGAGAGAGAGAGAGAGAGAGAGAGAGAGAGAGAGAGAGAGAGAGAGAAAATGGCTCCACCTCACAGAGATCCACCTGACTTTGCCTCATGAATACTGGGATTAAAGACAAGTATCATATACATGGCCTAAAGTGAGCAATTTTATAATGAGCACTCTAAAATATAAATTTTAAAACTTAAATTGTAGAGGACATAGTATCCTATGCTCATGGATTGGAACCAACAATATTGTTTAAATGCCAATGTTACCTAAAGCAACCCGCACATTCAAGACAATCCCTGTCAAAAATTCCAAAAACATTTTCAAAGAACTAGGGGGAAAAAGGCCAAAATTTATGTGGAATCTCAGAATCTCTGGGTAGCCTAAATTATCTTGAGCAAAATGGAAAGCAAAACAAAACAAATCAATGCATCCCATGACCTGACTTGAAAGTGTTCTACAAAGCTGTAGTAATCAAAACAGCATGTTATTGACATCAGGACAAACACATGAAAATGGACAAAACAGAAAGCCCAGAAAGGAACTCACATATCTGCAACCAACAAATGTTCAGCAGGTGCTAAGAGTACACCTTGGAAAAGGAAGATCTTTTCAGCACACGATGTTAGGATAACCGGCTATCATATGTAAAGAACGCAGCAAGATTCTACCCCTCAATACTACAGGACTCAGTCAGCAGTATACATAGGCCATTGTCAGCCACTCTTGAGAAACTCCCTGGAGTCAGCTGGAAAACAGCAACAGCAGCAGCCACACAGCAGCAACTTCCTGCCAGGAGCTTCTGGAGGGGCATACAAATAACTTCATTCAGAAAACACTTAATAAAATGATGATGCTCTTTTAGACTTACTACAGACCAGGGATTTTACAAAACACTTTAATTATCCTATGGAGCCTTTGTAGATGTTCTGCAAATTAGGCATTACTGTTCCCATTTAAGACAGGAAGAAAAATTTAGTGTGCTCATGGAATATTGCTGGTGTCTGCTGCACCTGATCTACAAACTCGGGGTTTCTAAAACCAGAGTTTATTCTCTCAATAAACTGCACGGTGGATACTGTATGGTGGCCACAATGAGCTAGTTTTAGCTGTTAACTTGAGCTTCTGATCTTAACCAGTCCAACACCTGCACTGTGGATTCCATATGCTGATCACGATGACTAGTTTTAACTGTTCACTTGGCACAATCTCGAATCACTTAGGAAGTGACAGGTTGTCTAGACCAGGCTGACCTGTTAGCATGCCTGTGGGTTATTGTCTTGGTTATGTTCACTGATATGAGTGATCCAGCCTGCCATGGACAGGTCCATTCCTCAGGGAGTGGATCCTGAACTGTACCAGTGTGAAAAGGAGAAGGGCAGTAACAAGCATAAGTACATTGATTTCTCTCTTCTCTTGACTGTAGATGTGGCTGTCTCGAGTTCCTGTCACAAAAATGACTGTAATCTGTGATTGTGAACCAAATAAACCCTCCTTTCTCAGACTTGCTTTTTGTCAGGTTTTTTTTAAATCACAGCAAGAGAAATGAATTTTGAACAGTGATGGGTTGCTTCCACTGGGCATGTTTGCAGCTGGGCTGAGCTGGGGAACTTGAGAAAGCTGCCTTGAACTGAGTCTTGAAGGTAAAGCAGGCTATAGAGGCAAATGTCAAAATCACATATGATGCAACAAAGCAGACTGTGTTCAGGCAGCGGCCAGATATTGGAGAAGACTACAGCATGTTGAATGCTGTGTGGGTGTAGGAAACCCTCAGGGTGGCTCACAAAGGATCTTGTGTCCTCTCGTGTGGGATTCAGGTCTTGTGCGGTAGACAATGGGGAAAGAGGGTGGAAATCATTAGTTCTATGGTTTTGATGGATCCTAATATTTGAAAAGAAGACAGAAAACTATCATTGTTTATGGGTAATACAATTATCAAACCATGGATGGCTGTGAAAATCTCAGAAATATCAAGGAAGTCAGTAAAATGGTTATAAGAGAAAATAAATACACACAAAATCAATAGTCTCTTAATACATCAGCAATAAACAGAAGGTACAATGGGAAAAAATCCCTGTTTTCTCACAGAAGCAAAAATACTTTTAAAAAATCCTTAAGGAATAAAGTTAACTGAATGAAGAAAATGGCAAATCTTTTACTGAAGAACATTGTGAAATTCCCTGGTTTAATGTAGAAACATATGTTCTAAAATGGCCAGACACTCTATTATAAATACGTTTTCCCTTAATTAATTTACTGGTTTAATGCAATTACAATATAAATCTCAGTAGAGCATTTTGTGGGAAACTTGACAGAGCGATTTTTAAATGCCTTTGGACAAATAAATGAATGGAAAGAGCCAAGGGAAGAAAATGTAAAGAAGTTAACAAAGTGAGATTGTGATGTGTCCAATATTCATGAGTGCTAGAGGTGTAACCAATCTGAAAGTGTGACATGATGAAGCCAGTCAAGACTCCAGCATAAATGCTGGAGGGACTCATGAGGTCCCTCCAGATTCAAAGAGCTACTGGCAGTAGATGGCTGCTGCAGAAGGGAGAGTGTCAGTTTTCTTCAGGAATGTGACCCCTAATAGACTGTCCATGTGACAGTGTATAGCCCTTGCACATCTCGGTAGCACTAAGTGGGTTTAAAAGTAGTATATGAGTCTTTGTTACTTGGCCTGGGGGTAGAATAGGGGGAAGAGGGAATCATAGGATACAAGACAGATCAGGCACCAGAGTGACCTCGAGTGATCTAAAGGGATAACACCAATTGGCAAGCTAAGCAATAGTGGAGAGACCACCTCGAATGCCCATTCCTGATAATGAACTTGATGTCTATAACCATCCGGGAGCCTTCATCCTGTGACTGATGGAAGCAGAGGCAAACACACAATTAATCACTGAACTGAACCCAAGGAACCCAGTGACAGAGAGAGAGGAGTGATGAGCAAATTGGCAAAGAATGGGCTGGCAAAACCAGCAGAGACAGCTGATCTGAACAGGGGAGAGCTCTTGGACCCCAGAGCGACAGTGGGGAGGCCAGCATGGGACTGATCTGGACCCCCCCAAATATGAGTGTCAGCGAGAAGGCCTGGGCAACCTATGGGGCCCTGAGCTGTGGATCAGTGTCTATTCCTGGAATACAAACAGTCATCGTGTGCCTATAGCACAAAGAGGGATGCTCTCTCAGCCTGGACTCTTAGGGGAGTGCCTGGACCCTACCCAGAGTGAAATGACAGACTCTAGATATCCCCTATGTGGAAGGATTTGGCAATAGGGTGGCAGGGTGGGGGGAAGGGGGGGTGCGGGAGGAGGGGAGGGAGAGGGAACTGGGATTGACATGTAAAACAAGCTATTTAAAATTAAAATAAAAAATGATAAAAAGTAGTATATGAAGTTGAGAGGGAAATGTGGTAGGGACATATTAGAGTAGTTGGAGGGGAGAGAATGGCATGTGTGTATGAAAATCTCAAACAATGAGAGAGACCAATAAAGCAGAGTGTAGAAAGACTTGTAACATGTGAACACATGACACACACAGAGTAAGACAAGTGCACCGTGAAAGTGTGGAGCATGCTACATTTCAGATAATTGTGGAGCCTGGGAATTGCTCAATCCATAATGCGTTGGCAGCTGGTTAACTGGGGGGAAAACTGAGGAGCACCTACATTAGGGGATGCACCAAACAAATCCCCAGTGGTTTATAATTGGCTCTCCCCAATCCTGTGGGCTTGAGGCACCCCTGCTCCATCTAGCTTAGAACTCATGGCAGCGACTTATATTTCCCTTTCATCTTGACAAGTAGAACATGAACACTCAGGAGGCAGCCAATTTATATACTCATCCTCTGAATATAGCAATATATATATTCTGTTGTGTGGATTGGCAAACAACCCTTCATTCACTCACAGAGGGTCTGATGACCCTGTAACCACACTGCATGCATTGACTTCAGTAAATACCACTGGAGAGCAAGAAATGTTTTCTCCAACCTATTTAGAGATTATTGGTGATGGTCTCTTCCTAGCCATGAACCATTTGTTTCTCATGCATAACTTAATTGTATCATGAATGTGAGAGATGCTGAGAAGAGAAAACCATTTCAGAATCTGAGAAACTTTGATTGCTCTGTGTTTTTCTTTTTGTTTTTGTATTCCAACATATATTCAGTCCCTATTCTGTGTTACAGTGTTCAAAAAATCAATAGGTAGTAGTTTACTTTTGAGCAGCTTTGCACAAATTATACCAGAATGCTCCCTGTCTCTTTGTCTGTCTCTGTCTCTCTCTTGTTTTTGTTCTCTAGACTTGATACAACCATTAGTATTTTTGAGTCATTTCTATGCTGTTGTTTCTCCCCATTGAGAAAACATCTGCACCCATGCGTGCACATACACACACACACACACACACACACACACACACACACACACACACACAGGGAAGTTCTTTTGCATTGCTAACCTTCACTTGAAATGGCTGTTCTGGAAATTGCTGTGATGGGTATGAAGAATTCTTCCTTCTTCAAGTGGGGTAATGTCATTTATCAAAGTTTATCATATATGTAGGATACATGAGTGCAGAAAAAGGGTGACATATGCCCCCTTTCTTGTCTTACATTTTATTTTACCTATAGTGCTACATGTATACCAAAGGAGCACAGAAAATGATTTAACAAGTAAACACATAACCATATAAAAGTACGTACATAAAAACCACAGAAAAATAAAGTGAACCGGAAGGACTCGGTTGCTAATGGTGCTTCTGGGGTTCAGATGTCCCATCTCTCTTCACTGGATGCAGGACCTTTCAAGGCAATCCCTTGACCTCGTCTTGCTGTAAACCAAGGCAAGGAGCTGGCTCAGTTGATGAAGTTCTTGGCTGTACAGGCATGAGGACTTGAGTTTGATACACACCCACACAAAAACCAGGAATCCTTGTAATCCTAGCACTGGAGAGATGGGAATAGGAGGACCTCTGAGCTTGCTGGTCAACCAGTACACCTGGATAAGTGAGCTCCAGGTTCAGTGAGAGACCCTGTCTCTGATGTCTCTGAAAATTGTGAAGAGAGTGACTGAGAAAAACACCTGAGTCAACCTCTGGTTTCCAGGTACACACACACACACACACACACACACACACACACACACACACACACACACAAACACACACACACTCCTCAAGGTAGCAATATCAATCTTCCAATAATATTTGAGAATTAAATGAAACAAACATATTTATTAATATTCCATATTAACTGATTCATAGAAACCAATTAACATTAATATTCGCTATTTAAAAACCATTATCACTTTTTTGACCAATTATTTCTTTTAACTTATAAAAAATTTTGTATGCCTAAAATTTGTCAAAAATATTTTTCCAATAATTCTTGCCAACAGGAAGGTGCTGTGCACAGTTTTAGATGTTGTCACGTTGACTTTCTGCTAATCATTCCACCAAATCTAATTTTTTTCCTCTGGTTCATTTTTTTCTCTTTGCAGATTTCAGTGTCATCCAAAAGCTGTGATTCCTCAGTCAGTTCTTCTGCTCTAACAGACTTCACTGTGTGTGTAGATTTAACAGCTGTCTGCTTCAGTTTGCATTATGTGTGAGTTAGATGAATGATGACTAGCAAAAAGGCAAACAGTGTTTTACCATCTCTTGCATTAGAAAACTCATCTGCAGACAAGTTACAGAGATGTGAGGTGCACCAAAGTGTTGGAATGGCAAGGTGCAAGAGTTTTTCCTGTGTTTAACTTCTCATCTCAAATGTAGCATAAAGGACCAAAATACCTTGAAGGCTCCTGTTTACTTTGGGAAAACGGGCAAAGGTCTGCCTTCCCCCAATGAGGTCACTGAAAATGAACCAAAAATGGATCCCCTTCAAGACCACCTTAATTAGTGTATTGGGTGATGGTGACTCAAAGGCAGTTGCATTATCAAGAATACCTGTAAAGAGAAGCTTTTTCTTTGCTAGCTGCTTTGGTTTATCCCCCGCCAGCCGCCTGGGCTCTGCCGCATTGTAGTCCCCAAATAAACACACAAGACGCTGTATTAATTATGAAGCTGTTGGCCTTGCTTGTTTCTTACTGGCTAGCTCTGACTTAAGTATTTACCCCATAATTGTTAATCTAAGTATTTCTCTTACCAGAGAATAGTTCCGGGCTTCCTACCCCATGGCGGTTACATGTCAAACTCTCTTGTGTTTCTCCTTCCCAGCATCCTCCTGGATCCTAGTCCCACCTATCTAGATTCCTATTGGCTCAACAGTGCTTTATTGACAAAAGACTTCCCCAACAAATACCACTCCATCATGAGTGATGACTTATAGAAATGGCCTCTATGGAGTCCCCAATGTCACCTGCATGCAGGTCAGCTGCTTGGATAATCTCTTTTCCTTAGCAAGTTTTATTGTGGTATATTCTTGGCAAGGAGTTTTGTGAATCTTGTAATCCTCACAAGACTTCTGAGTTAGATTTTACTTGTTAGATCTTACTTCTTTCATCTTAATTGGACTTCTCTCAAGAGTGGATGCTTCAATTCAGATAGAGAAAAGAGCTACATAAGACCCCATTATACCAAAGGGTTCATATACCAAAAGTGGTTCTACACATACAGAACAATGCTTCAGGAGCATGAAAATGATGGTATGGGAAGGAACTTGGGGCATTGAGTCTAAAAGCCTTGATTTTTAGATTCCAGTTCTTATAGGCCACACCCAAGCATCTCACAACTGGGGAAGCCTTGGTCCTTTCAAAGTTCATGTTAGTGATGATCAACTCTGGGCTAGAGGTGATGCTCACCTTCAGAATTTTTGGGATTGGGGGATTCAAATTTCATTTCTGCTGATGTGATACAATATTCCCACAGAAAGGAGAAAGGACTGTGATCAAGCCACAGCAGCCTGAAGTAGCTATCACATCACACCCATAGTCAAGAGTTGGGAGAGATGAGTGCATGCACACTGAGCTTTCAGCCAGATTTCTTTACTCTTACACAGCCCAGAGCCAAAACCTGGGAATGGAGTCACCCACTTTAAGGCTGGATTTTTTGAACATCATTTAAGGCAATCAGGATAATCTCCTACAGACATGCCCCAAGTCAATCTGATCTAGGTATCCCCTCATTGCTTCTCCAGGTGATTCTAGATTGTGTCAAGTACATGATTAAACCATCACAAGGAAGATGGCCATGTCCTTCTTGCAGATAGATAGTACAGCCAACATTGCGAAGTACTGATGACTAAGAATATCCTATACCACTCTACCCAACAGGTCCTTCCGTGATGTTCAAAATGCGGTCAAATGACATTTTCCAATATTGTTCCTATCAAACATATGAAGCTGTCAAGCCCTTGAAAGGTGGCTAGTGTGAGTAAGTTATCAATCAATTCTTAGATTCACAGTTTTATCTGATCACAGATATAATTCACCCCCTTATGTTTGGTCTCAGGTACCAAGCACTGACTCTTGGTTGATTGATTCATCGGTCGAAAAATGCATTGAAGTACACTCTCCCTTAGGTATACCATCTGAGCATTGCAGATAAACTAGAAAACTATCAAAGGCAGCTCCTATATCACTAACCCCCCGGGCTATTTGGTCTACAAATGCCTGTGATTCCCGAATTAGACACATTACCATGTTCTAATACTTATGATAGGACAGAAAATTTCCGGAAATCTTAGTAGATTGAATTTATTATTCCTATGGTTTTTGTGGCTTGGGATTTTGAAGCAGGTTGGATGTGTGAGATGGGTTGGGCTGTGTCATGAAGCTGTAGTCAGATAGTGGTTGGCATGGGGATTGTTCTAAATACCTCTTCACTTTGTGGTAAATATCTGATGCTGGTTGGTGGAAGCTCTACATAACCAGGGATCCTTGGTTATCACTTTATATCTCTAGAGCAACTCATGAGTAAAGACTCCTTTGGGGTTGCATATCAGATATCCTGCATATCAGACATTTGCATTACAATTCATAACAGTAGCAAAATTACACTTACGAAAGAGTGACAAAATAATTTTATGGTTGGGGTTACTACATCATAAGGAATTGTATTAAATGTTTACATCATTAGGAAGATTGAGAACCAGTGCTTTAGAGAATTTTGCACATTCAGGGAAAATGGGATTCTTAGTTGTCATAGACCTTCAATGACAGAGCAGAGGAGATTGAAAGGAGGGAGGGAATGTGTGTGTGTGTGTGTGTGTGTGTGTGTTCATAAGAAAGAGGGTGTGCATACCAACTTTTAGTTACTTTTAGTCACTCTGGCAATCACTTGAGAAAAGCATATTACATAGAGGAATTGCTTGTTTTTTAGGGAGGAATTATTAATTTTGCCTCACAATTTCAGAGATTTTTATCCCATCATGGTCCCCTCAGTCCAGTGGTTTCCAACCATGAAGTCAAGAATCTTAATCGGTTAAAGTTGACCACTTTGTATTGGGCAAGAGGAGAGAGAGAGGAAAATACTGGGGAACACATGTAACTTCTTCAAAGCCTTTTCCAAGTGATCTATTTCCTCCAACAATGCCCCTCCAGAACTCCTCAGAATAAGGTCAACATCTGGGGAACAAGAGTTCAACACTGGTACATGTGAGGAGATTACATATTTGAGCAATTTCCATCATCAGTTGTGAAACATTTTTGTCTTTGGTGAATTAGCTTTGGAAATTTCACAAAAAGAAATATAGTCTCTATGGCATGAAGGAAATGTGTTCTTCCACCATAAGATCATGTAGCTGGAATGGTGGTATGTGCCTGTTGTCCTAGCACTGGTGAGTCTGACTCAAGAGGATTAGGAGCTAGAAGTCAGCCTGGTTGACATAGTCACTACTTGTCTTAATAAACAAAACACCTAACCAACAAAGAGAAATGTGAGACTGGACATATATGCATTTGTGTGGTCTGCTACAGCTTCTTACTTAGCCATGGCTACCTGAGAAGCTGTGTGCCCTCTGTGCAATTTCACACACTCCTCACACAGCAGGTGTCTTACTTCTAGCATGCCCTGCATGTTTCTCCCAAATCTTTCTACGATGCTATAGGAAACTGGAAGAAAGAGAAACACTTTTCATAGCAATATACACTGATGAAATGGATGGCAGTGGGCAGGTGAGCCACAAATTCTCCTAACAGTCCTCAAAGTTTCCAGGTTTTATGGAATCAAGCTCATCTTTTACTCAGAGACAACCAATGTGCTCTTACTCTTTGAATCAGTTGATGAGGTTGTGATTGACACATGAATAACTGGAAATGCTTAAATGCTCATGGTGTCTAACATAATCAAAACCCTAAACAAATCAATCACTTCTTTTGCACTTTCACTCTTTTATGAGGGGGTTTACTTGTTCATTTTTCTCTGTTTTCTTCTGTAGTAATAACATTTAATGGAGGCTGGAGAGATGGTTCGGCAGTTAAGAGCACATGATGCTGGCCCTGCCCCTTGTCAAGGCAATGCTGGAGACCTGGCTCTGGTGATGTATGTGGGAGAGCTAGCCCCAAAAGCATGAGTGTGAGAAAGCCAGTCCTACCCCTTGCCAGATACCACAGGCATGAGAGCTGGCTCTGCACCACACCTGAGCAAACAGGAGAGCTGCGGATAAACCCCTTCTACTGCTCCTGAGATCCCTACTCTCATCCCCAGCTCTGTATCAGTAATCCTGTTATGTTCTCTCTTTCCTCTCTGACCCCATGCATAACAGATCATAAAGACCTTCTTTTCCAACTTTACTTTTTTCAAGTAATCCCAGCATCCCAGCCTCCAACACCAGCAGATATTCCCTATGGACACATCAGCTGAACAGGCTAGGAAAACAAGCAACACACAGCTGTTATGCTCTCCAAAAATCCAGAGAGGATTTTCCAAGAAACCTCTCTGAAAATTTCAGAGACCAAGGAGCAAAACACTCATCAAACAAATCCAGAAATCAGGATCTAGATCTATAATGATTCCAAACCTAGATGCCTAGACATCAGCATAGAAACACAATCAGTGACAGTCAAGGCAACATGTCTCCACTAGAGCACACCTATCCCATCACAGCAGCCCCTGAATATTCTAACATAGGTGAAGTACAAGAAAAAGACTTTAAACCAGTCTTTATGAATACTATAGGGAGGTCCTTAAAGGGGAGTTTAATAAATACATTAAAGAAATCCAGGAAAACACAAACAGTGGAAGGAAATGAATAATAATGTTCAAGATCTCAAATTGGAAATAAAGAAAATACTAAGGGGATTCTGGAAATGAAAAATTTAGGAATTCGAACAGGAACTACAGTGGCAAGTTTCACCAGCCGAATACAAGAGATGGAAGAGAGATTCTCAGGCATTGAAGATATGATAGAAGAAATGGATACATTGGTCAAAGAAAATGTTAATCTCCTGACTGAGACACCATGAAAAGGCCAAACCTAAGAATAATAGATACAAAGGAGAAGAAATCCAGTACGAACGCCCAGAAAATGTTTTCAACAAAATCATAAAAGACAACTTTCCTAACTTAAGGAAGGACATGCTTGTAAAGGTTAAAACAAACTAACAAACCAAAAAACCTTACAAAACACTAAATACATTGGATCAGAAAAGAAAGTTCCCTTGCCACAAAATAATCAAAATACTAAACATATAGAACAAAGAAAGAGTATTAAAAGTTCCAAGGGAGAAAGACCAAGTAACATAAAGGCAGACCTATCAGAATTATACTCAACTTCTCAATGGAGACTCTAAGAGCCAGAAGGGCCTGTACAGATTTCCTGTGGACTCTAAGAGATCACAGATGCCAGCCCAGACCACGATACCCAGTAAAAATTTGAATCACCATAGATGAAGGAAATAAGATATTTCATGATAAAGTCAAATTTAAACAATATAAATTCAGCCCTACAGAAGGTGTAAGAAGGAAAACTCCAACCCAAAGGAATCATCTACACTCATGAAGACACAGTAAGTGAATACTCTCTAAAGAAAAATCTGGCACTTGGTAAATGTCCAGAGATCTCAAAAAATGACCCCAACTA